ATACTTTTAATTCATTACATCCACGTATACAATTCACTATAGAGAAGGAAAGTAACCATAGTTTAAGTTTCTTGGACATCAAGTTAATATCTAAAGATAATAAAATTATATGTGACTGGTTTAGAAAACCAACGTTCTCTGGTAGGTACTTGAATTTTCTTTTGCAACACCCTATATGTCAAAAAAGAGGCACAATCATCGGTCTGATCGATAGGGTAATTTTATTATCACATCCTTCATTTCACCAGAAAAATGTAGAAATGATTATTAACATCTTAATAAATAATAATTATCCTGTTAAATTCATAGTTGACACAATAAACGATAGACTTAAAACTCTATTTTACACTAAAAATAATATTAAAAACAACAGTCTAAATCAGTCTAATGACTCTTCTTTGTTTTTTACTGTACCTTATTTACCGAATATTACAGAACAATTGATAGGTATTACAAAAAAAGCTGACACTAGACTCTCGTATGTAAGCATGAATAAATTAGGGAAATTTATAAAAACACATAAAGATAAAATACCTAAAGGAGCGAATACTAATGTAGTATATAAAATTAACTGTAAAAATTGTGATGCTTCATATGTGGGTCAAACTGGCAGAAAATTGAATACTAGGCGGAACATAAAAAACACATCAACAGAAAGTGTTCTAATAAATCGGTGGTTACGGATCATAGATTGGAGTTCTCCCATGATTTTGATTGGGGCGAAGTTAAAATTTTAGATAAAGAGAGTCTTTGCCAAAATTATCAGGGTTTATAAACTAACCTTGATATAAGAAGGTAAAACATTGAGGTATTTTCGCATTTGCGATCTGAGAGTTGTGATGGTTTAACGTTTTGTTTTGTTCTCTGCAAAAAAACCTTGTTTAAAGGGATGTCAAATCTGATACGTGGAACTTTTGTAAAATTATCACCGATTTGTTTGAGTGAGTGTACAGTGCATTTTACTTATCAGAATATAATGAATAATCGGATCTTGTTTATTTAGATCTTGATTTAATGTTTAACAACATTTCATCGGGAGGATTCAATCAAGATATCTCCCTTGACCAATAAATCAGGAAGTCTATTCTCATGGGTGATTGCATGGTGCGTTTTCTCGAACAAAGTATGTATCGGAAACGATGGTTGTCATACACGATGACTTGTTCAACAACATATGTATTGAGACAATAACTGACTTCACATATTTATTATCTTGACTATGTTAACTACCGTCTTTAATGTTTAATATCACGTTCTAATTTATAATTAAAATATTTGTATTGCGCTGAAGAAGGCTTGAAATGTCAGCCGAAACGTTCGCATAATTGTTTTATTTCTTATATATTTATTTTCTCTTTTTAAAATACATTTTATTAATATCATTTACACATAAATGTTTATTGCTTATGTATTTATTTTCTCGTTTTAAATGAATTTTAATAAGATTATCTGACAACTGCAATTTGTTTAATATAGCTCTTACAGCCCTTCTTTGTTCACAAACATTAAGTTTAATAGAGCTAATTACTATTTTTATTTAATATACGACTTTATAAAGTTAAGGAATTTGTGCAGTTCTCTGGTGCAAAATTCTTTTACTGATATGCTCTCTCTAAGACAATATAAGGTAGCTATAGAAAGATGTTTCTTAACTACATTGTATTAATTGTTAGTACCTTTCTTATTTTATATTTTAAAACTTTTTATACCTTTTCCAAACTTTTTATATTTTAATATATTAGATATATTATAGAATAAATAAAAACATTTTTGTAAATTTTTAAAGATTTATTTATTTATTTATACTATAAAAATTATTATTATTTATAAAAAAAATTAAAAATTATAATTAAATATTATTGTTCGGCTTCTTCCTCTTCCTACTCCTCCTCCTCTCATTCCTCTTCCTCCTCGTCTCATTCCTCTTCCTCCTCTTCTCATTCCTCTTCCTCCTCTGCTTTCCATTCCTCTTCTTTCTCTATTTCTTTCGCGTGTTTCGTCTCGGTATACTTTTCTACGCGCAGACTATTTATATCTATAAAGCATAGAGATTTTATTTATTTAATTTTTTATACATATATATATAACTGTTTATTTCATTTATTTATTAATAATTAGAGAGACAATATTATACTACATGTATGCGTAAATGCTATTATATTCTAGCTTGATAAAATATATATATATATATATATATATATATATACGAAATTTAATTCAAAATTTAATATACATACCTTGCATCACGTTCGACACGTCTTACTCCAGCCCGACGCTGCGTACGAGAATCGTCTTCGTCGTGCCGATGCTGATGTTGCTGTTGCTGGTGTTCTCTTTGTCCTTCTCTTTCTCGCCTCTTTTCTCTAATAATAAAAGATATCAAAAATATTATATATATGTATATACATAAGTACATACATATATATATATATATATATGTATGTACTTATGTATGTACATATATATAATATTTTTGATATCTTTTATTTTCTTGGATTTATTCGCAAAAGAAACGTATAAATTCAATTTTAAAAAGTTACAAAAAAAGTTGTAAGTTGATTAGCTAAAAGTTTTCTATAAGAGCCGAATTTACATATACATTTTTTTTGCTCAGGGGCCCCCAACATTGTAGCTACACCATTGACACACACACACACACACACACACGCGCGCGCGCGCGTAAATACGAATATATATAATATTAATTAATTTCTACTTATTCAACTTTTAATCTGCTACTTCTGCTAGCCTCGATCTTTACTGTTTCACAACCTCGGATAAACTGCCAAGCGGAGTGCTATACACTTTTATATAATATATATATTGGACACAAGTTTCTTTTGTTTCTAATTCTCGAGAGTTGAAGTAGAAACATACGAGTATCATATATCTATTGGATCATCAGAGCTCCGAAATTTTGTTTGAGATGATTCGAGAGCTTTTTTATCTTTATTTCAATCCGTTTGTGACTTGTCGAATGAAAGCAAGACTTAGAGAGTGAGCGAGATGATGAACTTAATAGCTCATAATGTTATAAATAAATAAATAAAAAATTATAACCTAACTTACTAGTTATTAAATCTTTTTTTAATAAAATGTTTCATTATTATTATCATCTAAGTCTAAGTCGTTTAATTAATTTTTAGTTTTTTAATAATTAATTTAATTTATTCTAGTCATTTTTATATGAGAAAAATACTATCACATATACGTTTTATAATGAATTAATATATTTTGGGAGCCGAATTATATATTCTTAATTATAAGTGTTCAAAAATTATATTTGACTTTTAATTTTAATTATTTTAGCAAAGAGTTCCGAAATCTCTTACACACATAATGGGGATTTTTTTTCATCCATATAATTCGCAATTAAGTATATATGTTAATTATTAATTTTAATAAAATAAAAATTAAAATTAAAGGTCAAATATAATTTTTGAACATAAATATATTAATTCATTATAAAACGTATACCCGTGATAATATTTTTCTCGTACAAAAATAACTAGAATAAATTAAATTAATCATAAAAAAATAAAAAATTAATTAAATAATTTAAGCTTATATTTTATATGATAATAATAAAACATTTTATAAAAAAAACAGATTCAAAAAATCTTCTTCTTCGTATGCCTATCCACTAGTGGATGTTTGCGATCACTTCCTGCATCCTCTCTCCGTCCCTCGCCACATGGATCAACTCCTCCACCGTGCGCAGTCCTGTCCACTGTCTAATATTTCGAAGCCAAGACAGTTTTTTGCGTCCTAATCCTCTTTTCCCTTCGATCTTTCCCTGTATAATTCTTTGTAGCAGCTCATACTTTGTATTACGCATGATGTGGCCCAAGTATGCCGTTTTCCTCCTTTTTATTGTAGTCAATATTTCCCTATCCTTGCCCAATCGTTTCAAGACATCTCCATTGGTGGTTCTCGCCGTCCACGCTATCTTTAGGACTCTGCGGTAGACCCACATTTCGAAGGCCTCTAGTCTATTCATTTCAGAAACTTTCAGTGTCCATCCCTCCATTCCATATAGAAGCACCGACCATATGTAGCACCTATGAATCTCCTTCTCAGATTTTGATCGAATTCCATATTGGTAAAGACTTTTTTAAATTTCATGAATGCCTTGCGAGCCATTTCTATTCGGCATTTTACTTCCATCTCCGACGTCCAGTCCTCGCACATCCACGTTCCCAGGTACTTAAATCTATTTACTCGTTCTATCGGTCTGCCTTCTAGTTTTAAGCTAGCGTTTCTGAACTTGTCCGGTTCTCTGGTGATAACCATGAATTTTGTTTTCTTAATGTTGATGTTCAATCCCATGTTTTTACTGTGCTGTCCTACTATGTCAAGAAGTTGTTCTAGATCGTCCATGTTGTCTGTAATTACCATTGTGTCGTCTGCGTATCGAATATTGTTTAGCCATTCTCCATTCACTTTTATGCCCTTATCAATATCCTCGAGTGCCTCTCGGAAAATAACCTCAGAGTATAGGTTAAACAGAAGGGGTGAGAGAACACATCCTTGTCGGACCCCTCTGCAGATTTCAACCGCGTTGGTTTCTTCTCCGTCAATCCTGATTCGTGCCTTTTGATTCCAATATAAGCTTTTAATACATTGAATGTCCTTTGTATCTATATCCGTTTTTCTGAGAACCTCCGTAAGCCTATGATGTTGAACTCTGTCGAACGCTTTCTCATAATCTATAAAGCACAGGCATACATCCTTCCTCTGGTTATAACAATTTTGCACCAGGGCGTGTGTTGCTACTATTGATTCCCTCGTGCCTAACCCCTGTCTGAACCCAAATTGTGAGTCGCTGAGGTTTCCCTCGCACTTTTTAAAAATTTTTTGATGTAAGATTTTCAAGAATAATTTTAGGGTATGGCTCATAAGACTTATTAGCCTGTGGTCTGTGCATTTTTCGCTTTGTTTTTCTTTTGTAACGGAACAAAAGTTGAGGAAAGCCACTGTTCAGGATATATTCCTGTGTCCTATATTTTGTTAAAAATTTTCAGGAGAAGTGCTAATCCCTTCTCATTCAGTAACTTTAGTAGTTCCGATGGCACTTCGTCTGGGCCTGCTGCTTTGTTAGTTTTTGCGGTGTTTATTGCTTTTTTAATTTCTTCCATTATGATCGATGGACCCGTGAGGTTGTCACTGTCTGCTTCCATTTGTCTGTCTGGTCTCTCGTCTGCAAAGAGGCTTCCTACATATTTCTCCCATATTATCTTTTTCTCTTGTATATCGTTGGCTAAGTTGTTATTTTCATCGACTATTGCAGAAAAAGTCCTTTTACGGTATATTCCGGCTATTTCCTTTAGTCTTTTATGTAGATTGAAATCATCGTGCAGGGTTTGTAACTTTTCCATTTCCTTGCATTCTTGCTTTAACCACATGTTCTTTGCTGTCCTAATCTTGGCTCTTATTTCCCTCTGCATTTCATTATATTTGTGTGGATCTGCTTGATTCTTATATGTCCGTCGTTCGTCCATGAGCGAGAGGATCTCGTCCGTCATCCAGTTCTGTCTTCGGTTCTTCTCTCGATATCCCAAATGGCTTTTTGCGGTGTTTATCATGTCATTTTTTAACTCTTTCCATATTTTGGTTGAATTTTGCTCATTTCCTCTCGAGCTTAACATCTCCTCTATGTTGTTATTTATCTCATGGCGCATTGCAGTTTTTATGTCTCCTTGTTTGAGCCTTTCGTAGGCAATTCCTCGCTTTGAGACTGGTTTTACATACTTTGTTAGTTTGATTTTGATAGTTGCCCGTAGTAGTATGTGGTCAGAGGACACGTCCGCTCCAGGATAAGTGCTTACTCTGTTAATTGAGGATCCAAAACGTTTATTGATAAGTATGAAATCTATCTGGTTGCGACTTATGTTCTCCGGACTGTCTCTAGGAGATCTCCACGTATATAATCTCCTGGGTGGTAATTGATACCATGTGTTAGTAACTCTCATATCTTCTTCTTGGCAGAATTGCACCAGGCGTTCGCCCCTCTCATTTCTTATTCCCAATCCGAATGGTCCCATCAGATCCTCATATCTCTCTTTTCCTATCCTAGAGTTGAAATCGCCCATAATTATATTCATATCATGTTTCTTGGTGAGCTTCAACATTTCCTTTATTTGCTCGTAGAATATTTCCATCTCCTCATCCGGTGCATCAGCAGTTGGCGCATATATCTGGATAATGTTTAAATTGGTTGGCCTGGCATTAATCTTTATCAGCGCTATTCTATCTGAGTATGGTATGAAGTCGATGATGCAATTCTTAAAACGACCTGACACAATAATTCCAACTCCTTTCCAATGATTCTTGTCTTGATTGCCCGAATAATAAAACGCGCCTCCTCCGGTACTACACACTCCTGCATCTGGCCACCAAGTCTCCGCTACTCCCATTATGTCGATGTCCAGTCTCTTCATTTCCTGGATTAGATTGGCTAATTTTCCTGCTTCGAATAGACTTCGCACGTTCCATGTGCCTATATTGATCTTCTTACGTATATCTGCCGACTTGACCTCGCTCAAATCTGTTCCCCCCGGAGATCCGATTGGGGAATTATTTAAACCTCCGGAATATTTCGAGTTGAACGCAGTCATGTGATTCTCTTGGGATGGGGGTAATGGAGGTGGTTTCCCGTTGCCTTCTTCCATGGTTTTCCCTTAGCTGGATTGCTCTCGTTTTTAGGCGCCAGAGTTCCGCCTTTCGCCCATCTCTATTTGCTATGACTAAAGTCACATTGCCCGGGATGCGCGACTAGGATGCTAGAGGATTGGACTTGTTGGTTGGTTGAGCTGCTGTTCGTACGCAGCTCGGCTCTTCACAGCTTTTTACAGATGCACATCCTCCAGCAGGACGTGCCTCACTGTGGCCACACCAACCATTCGCACCCCATTCAAAAAATATAAGTATATATATAACATGTACTTATATTTAAATTCGGTATGTTATCTTTCTTTGTCATTCTAGGAGTTATGTAATAAAGGTCGCAGAAAAATTTATATATATATTGAAAATACACTTGTAGTAATTTTATATTAATATATTGTATTATATAATTATACTTTTATTTATAAACGTTATCAATAAAAATATATATTCTATTATAAAAAAATTGTCTACGTTAATTTTCATTAATTATTAGAAGATATTTATTTATCGAATTAATTTCTAAATTGTTAAATGTTTTTTAATCATTATTTATTTATTTGCGTACTTGTAAAAGTAATTTTATTAAAAACTAGCTAATATATTTTTTGCAAGATTTAAAGTCATTTCAAATTCAATACTTTCTATTTTTAATTAAAAAATTAAAAATTTTTTATATTTAATAATAAATTTTATAAATATTACAGTTTAATCTAAAAAGTTTTGATTCATACAACTTGTTAATCTTGCTATTACAATTGTATTATTATGTAAGTATATTTTTAAAAACTGTTTTAATAAATGTTACGTATATATAAGTTGAAAATTGAATAATATATATAATTACAAATTTTTCAATATTTTTTAAAACATTCTCAGAAATCAGAATTTTAAATAAAACTTAATTTTTATTTTATTCAATGCAAGGATGTATAAATCTATCATATATCCATAATAGATGTCTAATGTACATCCATGATGGATTTGTAGACGATATCTATTGTGGAGATAGTATGGATGTCTATTAGAAATCCATCTGTTGTCTACCGTGGAGGTAGAGGTCGCATAAAGGTATGGAGATTATATGGACGTCCATTGGATGTTTTGTTCCGTGTGGGATTAGTTATATTTACGTAAACCTTAGTGTAATTTATTTATTATAGATTAGATCTTAAAATCTTAAATTCTTAAGATGTTATTTTTGATGAGATTATTCAATAATCTGGAAAGTAAGGTTTCGTGAATATAATTAACAAGTTAACGCCCGATAAAATGGCGTTTCTCAGATTAAGCATCGCTAGAGATTTATGGAATCTTCATAATAATTTTATCAAGGCTAGAGCCTTTATTATAAAGGTGGTTAAGTATCTTATCAATCATTCGAGAATTCAAAATATTATAATTATATTATATTATTATGTTATGATTCCATAAGTTCTATTGTTTCTTAATCTTGAACATGTTAGTGTTGCATTTATATGCGGTTCAGTTAGTCGCACGAATGTACACGTGTGGTTGGAAGTATGCGCTCCGGTATGGTCTAGTGACGCTGTTCGATTGGCTGAGCCGCTTAGTTAGAACTAGGAAGACCCTATATGTTAGTACGGTTAGTAAAATCGTCCCAATAATTATAAATAATGAATAATAATGATAATATTGAGAAATACAATTGCATTTCTTAAGTAATTATTCAGAAGAATTTGTAGCGCACAAAAATACGGTTTCGAAAAAATGACGGGATGTAACACCTTCTTTCCTTCTTTATTACACTAGGTATGGGAAGAAAAAATAGTTCTCTATTTATTTAGGGCAATCTGCATGCACCGACTATAACCTATGTACGCCGAGAGCTTGAACTGACTTTTTGGATCTAGGGAATTATAGGAATAGTTACGGATTCTCAGGGACGTTTAATAATTTCTATAAAGATTAGTAATAACTCGAAATCAAATTGTCTATTTAGATAATTAAATAGTAAATTAATAAGTATTATTACTAGTATTAAATCGTATTTGATTAAGGATTTAAGCATTTAGAAAATAATTATTTATGGGTAAGAACTATTATAGATCTAAATACGAGGGTTACTATTTATATTTCGGGAACTGGCAACACTGATGTCATGTGAGTCCATCTGATGGTTTCATCGTAAAGTTTGACATTTTTGACGATATACGTACTCAGAACATTTTGTCATACGGATGCTATTTGTTTATTTTATATTTAGTTGAAAGTTTCGTCTCGGCAAAAGATGGAACTGAATCGTGAACATTTTCGTGCGATGATTTTTTACGATTTTCCACGTGGATTATCACAACAAGAGTGCATCAATCAACTTAATTTGACTTTTGGCGATGAAGCTCCATCAAAAACCACTGTGTATCGCTGGTATAGTGAATTCAATTGTGATCGTAGTTCGCTGTCCGACGAGTTTCGTGAAGGTCGTCCAAAATCGACTGTAGTGCCAGAAAACATCGATGCTGTGCACGAAATGATTAAGCAAGATCGTCATGTAACCTATTGTGAGATTGAGGCATCCCTAAGCATTAGTTCCACCAGCATATATGCGATTTTACATGAACACTTAGCTGTGCGAAAGTTATGTTTGCATTGGATTCCACATAATTTGACAATCGCTGAAAAAAAGGCTCGTGTCGATTGGTGCAAAAAAATGCTTAAGAAATACAATCGCGGTGCTTCAAAAGACGTTTATAAAATCGTGACAGGTAACGAATCATGGATATATTTGTATGAGCCCGAAAGTAAGCAGCAGTCAACTGTATGGATGTTCCAAGATGAACCAAATCCAACAAAAGTTGTTTGCGCACGAAGAAAATGGTGGCTTGTTTCTTCGGAAAAACTGGTCATATTGCAACAGTGCCTCTAGAGGATCGTAGAACAGTAAATTCTGAGTGGTACACAACCATCTGTTTGTTAGAAGTCTTCGGTGAAATAAGGAAAACAAACAAGAGACACCGGATTGTTCTTCATCATGGCAATGCGAGCTCTCATACATCGGCTCAAACAAGAGACTATTTGAGCACTCAAAACATCGAATTGATGGGTCATCCGCCGTACATCTCTGATTTAGCACCCAATGATTTCTTTTTGTTCCCATCCGTAAAGAATAAACTGCGTGGTCAACGATTTTCATCGCCCAAAGAAGCTATTAAAGTGTTCAAAAATCATGTTTTGGAGATACCTCATTTGGAATGGAATAAATGCTTTGAAAATTGGTTTAAGCGTATGCAAAAGTGTATCGATTATCGTGGCGAGTACTTTGAAAAACAATAAAAATATATTCACAGCTTAACTATTTGTTTTCGTTCTTATTCCCGAAATATAAATAGTAACCCTCGTATGTGGAATAATCATCTATTTTGAAATGAACCTCCGATGGTCCTGACTCTAGTAGTTTTGATAAGGAAACTTCTGGAAAATCGGCTTCTTCGAATGGTGTGAAGTTCTGATTAGAATTCTTTAATAATTCTATCAATCCATTAATATTGTTATCTAGTTCTTTGATAGAGATGGGAGACAAAGGTTCTACATTATTTAGAATGTTATTAGTTGATTTTGAATCTTGCGGTAAATCGGAAGAGATTATCTCTTAAGACTCAGATAATTGCTTGTCTCCGGATAATCTCGAGTCAGAATTTATTAAGGGACTCACGACCTTTTTGTACTTCTTATGCAAGGCTGAGTGAATACGCTTCTTTTTACGGACGCGTCTGTTTCTAAGATTGCCCATCTACAGGAGTGTACTTATCCATATAGCTGAATATGATTATTTATTGAGGAATAGGGAAATTAGGTTGAGAAAATGTTCTTACTTGCTTTTATATTGAGACAAGAGTTTTCTCCACTGATGATAACGCCTGGGCTGTCGCTCTCCTTGAGGACCTCGGTCTCAGGATGGAGTTGGTTCAACAGACGTACACAGTAGCAATATTGCTCTTAAGTCTTTATTCTTCTACTTATGCACAGATTCTAAGTCTTTAACATGGACTAAATACAGAAGTTACGCTCGTAGACTAAGTATTGGTAAATAAATTGACTTAAGAGTTGATTCGAGATAGACGACTGGCAGTAGTCGTCCTAGAGATTGACTTAATAAGCTTTCGTAAGAAGTGTCTTATACTAAAGATTGACTCGAAGTGTTTAGCTAGTACTGCTTATTACAATAATTTGACACAAAGTGTTTACAGAGCGCAAAATTCGCGGCTTTTATATCCTGGCCGCGAAGGACCGGGGCGTGTGCAAATTTTGGTTCTAAGAACTCAACTTATCTTATTGAATGAGAGGGGGTACAACGTCGAAGAAGGTGGTTCAGCAGCGAAGATGATTCAGCGGCGGAGAATAATTATAATTCTTTGTGATGAATTTACAATAATTTGTGGAATACTTATTTTATAAATGTTTTTAAGTTTTAATGTAATGTTCATAAAATATTATAGTTTATTAGGAGACGCGGTAGTGTCTCCGGCCATGTTCAAACCCTAAAAGACCTTAAAAGACACTACAAGTCTCCTTATCCTGCACCATCAAAGTCCATTTTTTGGGGGTGTAGAACTACTAAAATATAAAAAATTTTGAATTGCACGTAATATAACCTGAAAGGCGGCATCGCCACGAGTAATTTGAGCCAAGAAAAAATAAAATCGGTCAAGCCGTTCTAGAGATACAAGCGGTCGAAAAGTGACGTTTTTCATGAAAAATGAAGTAACGTCGTCTTCTTCTCTGTCCGCTGACGTCATCAGGATTATATATATCCTAAAAAATCATAAAAATGAAAAGGTCAGGCCATGTTCAAAAGAAGGTACTCAAAAATTTAAACGATCTAATAATAAATTACCACGAAAAGTAACTGATATGTTATTCAAGGTGCCAGTTCAAAGTGAACATACGTAAAGTGTATATTATCTAAATTTAGTAATAATATATTACCATGAAAAGTAACTGTGATATTTTATTCAAGGTGCAAGTTCACATTGAACATACATACATATAAGTAAAACTGATTACAATTTGATTCTAGAAAATAAGTGCGATATGTTATTCTTAGTGCACAAAATATAATAGTCGTTTATAGAGATTTGATTTGAAATTTATACTAGCCCGTACAATGAAAAATAATTGCTCGTAATTCCAGAGTACCAATTTGTTAATTACTCAGAAAAATAACATGGCGGCCTGCTCTCAAAAAACTTTCGATGGGTAGAATAAATAATTGAAATAAGAGTTGTGAAAATTGTATAAATTAAAAACCTCCAATCTTTCTTTAGTAAAATTTCGAATTTTCGTATCAACTTCCGATTTGTGTTATACCGTATTTTCAGGGAGTAAGTTATTGATCAGAAAACATTGCCTTGTTGCTCGAAACGGGTGTATATTAAGTAAAATTTATAAATGTACAGTTCTCAGGTCAAGTACAATAAAGCTATACGCTTAAAAAGTTTACTGATTATTTGTCGTAATATACAATAAAAAATTACATATTAATTAAGTGAATAATATCGAAAATTATAAGTCAAATGAAACCTTGCTATTTAAAACCTATTCTTCATGATCGCAAGACACTATTTTCTATTTAAAAGATTTTCTTCAGAAACACAGAAGAAAAAGGTATTTGTATATAGTTTTGTATATTCACTTTGTTGTGTGTAGAGCTTTTAAAAATACGTTGAATCCTTATTCTAATCTAATCTTCTTCTAATGTAATACTTTTCGTACTTTAAATGTTGTAGTAATTATTCTGTAAGAGCTTCGACATTATTTCTAAATGGACATCGAGAAACATCATAGTTTTTTGAGAGCAGGCCGCCATGTTATTTTTCTGAGTAATTAACAAATTGGTACTCTGGAATTACGAGCAATTATTTTTCATTGTACGGGCTAGTATAAATTTCAAATCAAATCTCTATAAACGACTATTATATTTTGTGCACTAAGAATAACATATCGCATTTATTTTCTAGAATCAAATTGTAATCAGTTTTACTTATATGTATGTATGTTCAATGTGAACTTGCACCTTGAATAAAATATCACAGTTACTTTCCATGGTGTTTGAAACGCATAATAGAAAACTACTTGTGTAATAAAATATTATATTTTTATATGGAATATTCTAGAATATTCGCTTCCGATCGCAAGTCAACAGGCATATCGTTTTTTTATATGTTTTTTTCTGGAAAACATATCGCGACACAAATTATCCTGTCGTATAAAAACACGCTCGAAAATAAACAATTAACGGTGTCGCAACCGTTCCGCCGAATAATTATATTTTCTTGAGCATGCGCGGCTTCTCACGGGCGCCTCGTTTCGCCAATAATCATCGTGATTGCCAGCTCGCGCATGCTTTCTAACAGCCGTTGTTCTGTCAAATTTGACAGCGGCCAATTACGCGTAATACGCTCAGGTCACCCCGCGCAACTTTAAAAAGACGCAAATTTATTGGCGCGTCACACGAAGGTGGGCTCCGCTCCGGAAATTATAAATGAGGAGCTCTCACCCCGCTTGCCAGCTTTATCGCTTTTCCGTCGTGAAAACATATCGCAAACCGCTTATCTGATAAACCGCAAAATTCGTTGACGACCGCCGCTATTCCGCACTTTGATTTTTGATTCCGATTTCACTGTAAAGATAATTAAGGTTTTGTAATAAGTTGTTATAGTATTTTGTCAATACGTGTGTGATATTATTAAAGTCTTTGTTTTACAAAAAAGGTGACTCATCCTTTCGTGCAGCGCGATCCTTTGCTCACGCAGCGCGTTCGTGAACATTTTTTGGTCCTTCGAGCCGGATACGTCGCACCGGCAACCGCAAGTTCGGGAGCGTGTCTTCTCGCGTGAGTGACAATAGTGCAGTTTCGTGTGCAGTCATCATGGATGTACCCACGCTGGTTGATTGTCAGCGTGAGCTTCAAGTCCGCATCTCACGTTCTGTGGAGTACTTGAAGAAGCTGGGCAGCTCCAATATCACCGCCAGCGCTATCTCCACACGCACCAGAATTCTGGATCAGCTGTGGACAAAGTTCGAGGCGCAGCATGACCTTATCCGGGCGGCCTTGAAGGAAAAGTTCAGTGAGAGCGAGTACTTTAAATCAGAGTTGCATGCTGATACGGAGAATCTCTACGTGTCACAAAGAAGCATACTAGACAGCTACGCTGAACACTTTCGTACAGCAAACGTACCTCCTTCTGCCGACGCCACGTCAAGGTCATCACTGCCGCGTATCAAAGTGCCGCCATTTTCTGGTGCCTATGCCGATTGGCCGTCGTTCCGAGATCTCTTTCTCTCCGTCGTGAGTGGCAATGCGATCTCCAACATCGAGCGCTTTCACCACCTGCGCTCATGTCTGACGGGGCAAGCTGAAAGGTTAATAAGGTCATTGCCTGTCACCAGCGACAATTACGATCGCGCTTGGGCGATTCTGGACAAACACTACAACAACAAAAAGGAATTGATCCGCTCCAACTTCGCCACGTTCATCGCCGTGCCGAAGATGAAGGGAGATACCGCAGAAGAATTGAGACGTATTCACAACGCCGTTACTGCCGCCGTCAATGGTCAGGAGAGCATCGGACGTCCAATCAACACCCACGGAATGGACCTCTTCAACTTCCTGGTCACCGAGCTGTTTGATGCACGCACACGTCTTGAGTGGGAGTCGTCCACGTCAGACTCATCAGAGCCGGCACAAAACGAGGCACTTGTGGACTTCATCAGCCGCCGGATCCTGACGCTCAACGCCGCACGACCGAAGAGCGCCAGCAAACCGCCCGGAGATGCTCCACGGGTAGCCAAGGCACATGTCACGAAGCACCAAGGAACCGAGTCGCCGCACTGTGCACTGTGTCGCGAGAAGCACACCTTGATGACCTGCCGAGATTTCAAGGCCAAGACTGTCAACGACCGCAAGGCATTTGTCGAGAGTAACAGGCTCTGCTACAATTGCTTAGGCAACCATTTTCTCTCTCGCTGCCAGTCAAAGAAGAACTGTCTGACATGCGACGCACGACACCACACGATGTTACACGGAGCACCCACATCGTCAGCGTCAACTGAAGCCACCCGCGCCACCACGTTGACTGCTACGCAGCAAAATCCAGAGTGCAAGGCCGTTCTTCTTGCAACAGCACGAGTAAACATCGCCGATCGGTACGGATCACCACAAGCCGTACGCGCCTTGATCGACCAATGTTCTGAGGTGTCGATCATTTCGGAGACCTTGGCACAACGTCTTCGCCTTCCTCGAGTCTCAACGGGCCTCTCCATTTTCGGCATCGGAGGGACTCGCTCGGGATCCGCTCGTGGCAAGGTCACGCTGCACGTAACGTCAGACGTGACCAACGCCAAACTCAGCGTGGTGGCCTTTGTGCTGCCCCGCATATCGCTGCAGCAAGGCTCAGTCTCGCGGGAAGAACGCAGCTGGCCTCATCTCAACGGACTCCAACTGGCCGATCCTCGCTTCTTAGACGACGACCCAGCTGAGCTGCTACTGGGAGCCGAGGTCTATTCCTTGATCCTCGAGGAAGGCCTCCGCAAGGGAGAATCAAGGATGCCGATCGCTCAGCAAACCAGCCTGGGATGGATCCTTTCTGGCGGCTACGACGCAGCAGCAGTCAAGGGACATCGCCGCACCTTCCGGTGCACCGCCGATCATGACCTCGCCGACCTTGTTCGCCGCTTTTGGGAGCAGGAGAGCGAGCCAATATCTCAGGCTCCACTCACTCCTGACGAATCCAAGTGCGAGGAGCTTTACGTGCGCACCGTCACACGCACGCCCACCGGGAGATACATGGTGAGGCTGCCCTTCTCATCGCCGCCAACGACTCTTCAGGATACTCGCCGCCCAGCGGAGCATCTACTGAAAGCCATGGAGACCAAGGGCAGCCGAGATCTTCGCTTTGGCGACCTCTATCACGGCTTCATGCAGGAATACGAGGACCTGCAACACATGAAGAAAGTAAGTACTTCAACAACAACGGAGAATTTCAGATGCTACTTACCACATCACGGGGTCCTGAAGGAATCGAGCACGACGACAAAGCTCCGAGTCGTGTTCAACGGCTCTCAGCGCACACGGGCCGGCACTTCGCTCAACTCGCAGCTGCTGACTGGGGCAAACCTTCTGCCAGCGCTCACCGACGTGTTGCTGCGATGGCGTTGGCACCGGTACGTCTTCGTCACCGACATAGAGAAGATGTACCGCCAAATCCTCGTACATCCTGAGGACTGCCGTCTCCAAACAATTTTGTGGCGTCACAACAAGACGGACGAGATCGGAGAGTACGAGCTGCAGACGGTGACCTACGGCATGGCGTGTGCACCGTTCCTGGCCATCCGAACTCTGCAACAACTTTGTGCGGACGAGGGAGCGCAGTTTCCTCAAGGTGCCACAGTGCTTCGGCTTGATTGCTACGTCGACGACGTGGTCACCGGCACGGACAACCTCGACGATGCCGTCAGCCTCCAGACGGAGCTGCGCAACCTCTGCATGGCGGGCGGATTTCCACTGAGGAAGTGGGCCTCGAACCATCCAGAGGTCCTCACAGGAGTCCCACAGGAGCATCGGCTGCAGCAAGGACCACATTCCTGGGAAGGAGAGAGCCATTCGACATTGGGCCTGCGATGGCGTCCTCAAGATGACCGGTTTGCCTTCGCGATACATCCTCGGCCAGTCAGCACATTCACGAAGCGACGAGTCCTCGCCGAAACTGCACGCCTCTTTGACCCGATGGGCTGGCTCGCGCCTGTCATCATTCGGGCGAAGATCCTAATCCAAAGCACCTGGCTTCAGCAACTTGATTGGGACGCTCCACTGCCGGCCAAGGATGCTCGACATTGGCAACAGCTGTTGGATCAGTTGCCGCTGCTCAGGCACATACGCGTTAATCGCTGGCTCAGCACCGACAACGACCACTCGAGGTTGCAGCTCCACGGGTTTGCTGATGCTTCCGAACGAGGATACGCCGCAGTAGTCTACCTCCGCACCACTGAAAGGGGAAAACCGTCAATTAATCTACTCATGGCAAAATCCAAGGTCGCACCCGTCAAGCAGGTTTCGTTGCCGCGACTTGAGTTGTGCGCTGCTAGCCTACTCACCACGCTCACGCTGCATGTCCGCGACATTCTCGGCTTGGCAACTACTCCAGTATATCTGTGGTCCGATTCCCAGGTCACGCTTCATTGGATCCAGGGACACGCCACTCGCTGGAAAACGTTCGTCGCCAACCGGGTGGCTCACATCCAGACTCAGCTCCCGGACGCTCAGTGGAGACACGTGGCCGGGAAGGACAATCCTGCAGATTGCGCATCACGAGGAATTAATCCGGAAGAGTTAGTCAATCACACGCTATGGTGGACGGGACCTACCTGGTTGGCACTGAACGAGACAGCATGGCCCAGCTCAGAGGTCCACATCGCGGAGGATGACCTTCCTGAGCAGCGCACCACCAGCCTGATGACCAAGGGTTCCGTCGTCGTCGAACCGGACATCCTTCTTCGGTTCTCTGCGCTTCATCGGCTGCTACGCGTCACGGCTTGGTGTCGTCGATGGCTCAACGTGGCGAGCCGGGAGGTCACACCTAGTTGTCCACTACACCCCGACGAGCTGGACGCCGCCCTACTCCAGTGGCTTCGAGTAGTACAGGCGCTCCACTTCCCGGACGAGATAGCTGCTGCCACCGCAGGACGCTCCGGCCCACCACGCAGTTCACTGATCAAGCTGAATCCGTTCATCGACGACCAAGGTGTACTGCGCGTTGGAGGACGTCTCAAACACGCACTCGTTACTGTCTCAGCTGATCATCACATTCCACGCGATCACCACGTGTTTCCGCGGCTCAGCTGATCGATTCGAATTACACGCAATCATCACGTGAATCTCGCCGCGCCGGCGCGCCTGCCCCACCATCGATCACTATCGACTTGCGATTCCGCGACCGAAATACCAAAAACATGTTGTCACTGCGCGACAAGGCGGGCGGGAATGTTTGAAACGCATAATAGAAAACTACTTGTGTAATAAAATATTATGCTTTTATATGGAATATTCTAGAATATTCGCTTCCGATCGCAAGTCAACAGGCATATCGTTTTTTTATATGTTTTTTTCTGGAAAACATATCGCGACACAAATTATCCTGTCGTATAAAAACACGCTCGAAAATAAACAATTAACGGTGTCGCAACCGTTCCGCCGAATAATTATATTTTCTTGAGCATGCGCGGCTTCTCACGGGCGCCTCGTTTCGCCAATAATCATCGTGATTGCCAGCTCGCGCATGCTTTCTAACAGCCGTTGTTCTGTCAAATTTGACAGCGGCCAATTACGCGTAATACGCTCAGGTCACCCCGCGCAACTTTAAAAAGACGCAAATTTATTGGCGCGTCACACGAAGGTGGGCTCCGCTCCGGAAATTATAAATGAGGAGCTCTCACCCCGCTTGCCAGCTTTATCGCTTTTCCGTCGTGAAAACATATCGCAAACCGCTTATCTGATAAACCGCAAAATTCGTTGACGACCGCCGCTATTCCGCACTTTGATTTTTTGATTCCGATTTCACTGTAAAGATAATTAAGGTTTTGTAATAAGTTGTTATAGTATTTTGTCAATACGTGTGTGATATTATTAAAGTCTTTGTTTTACAAAAAAGGTGACTCATCCTTTCGTGCAGCGCGATCCTTTGCTCACGCAGCGCGTTCGTGAACACATGGTAATATATTATTACTAAATTTAGATAATATACACTTTACGTATGTTCACTTTGAACTGGCACCTTGAATAACATATCAGTTACTTTTCGTGGTAATTTATTATTAGATCGTTTAAATTTTTGAGTACCTTCTTTTGAACATGGCCTGACCTTTTCATTTTTATGATTTTTTAGGATATCACTTACTTTTTAAAGTACAGATATATAGAGCAGCTTTCTAGTAATTCAAGTATCACAAATATATGTATTTTCGATTCTTATCACATAACTTTGTATAAGTAACAATTTATGCAATACAGTTCAAAATAATTGAAATATATGGTATATATGTACATATATAAAATATATAATTATATTATAGTATACATATATATTTTATTTAATCATATATGTAAATGTTTGTATAATTGTAATAACTTTTAACGATACATTGCACATTTATTTCAATTGCAACAGAATGAATTTATATTCTTGTATGAATATTGAAAATAAAGAATGGGCCCCTCCATCGCCCATTCTCGTGAGAACGCAACCATATTTTTCTTCGTCTCTCCGATTTTAACACGACATACATATTTCTGTCTGATAATTTTTTTCTGGATGATACTTTTTGAAATGTCATGAAGCCTAGGTCAAATTAGAAACTTATTGCACTCGTTTTAATGCAGCGCTTACAGCAGCTTTTATAAAGCGCCAGAGTAGCCGATATTTTATTTTGGCGCTTACGGCAACTTTTATACAGCGCTAGAACAGTTGATGTTTTAATGTAGCGTTTACGGCAGCCTTTATACAGCGCCATTATTTAATCTGTTCTAAAAACAATATGTATGCCCCTTGTGCTCCTTTGGGCCATTTTTTCTTGAACACTTCCATATCATTAGAGTAATACCATTCCGATTTTGTGTCAGCTCTCAACATACACGTGTAGTGACCACGATTCATTTCTTCACCTTCGTGAAATATAGCGCTTATTAGCTTGTACTTTTTTTTATTAATCGTGATATTACTCGTCGGCACGGCGGTAATCCGATTGTTGATAATTTTTTTAGAAGCACCATTTACAAAAGTATATAAATTGAGCTGTATTACTACGACGGATAAAGTTGATTCGATTACGGTTTTCTTTTTCAACACGGTGCCCTTACATTCGTTACAATTGCCGTTTATCGTTTCCCATTTAGAAAATTCTACATTAATCAAACTTTGTAGAGTGACACCTTTTTTCCTTTTTAATGTCGAATGTATAGGTAATATTAACAAACTACTGCTTTCCAGCTTAGTTACATTGTAATTACATTTGATATTCGAGCAACATGTTACGTGCTTTAATTCGAGTTTTAATACATCATTGATGTCGGAATACGTCGATATTAGAGCCGTAAAAAATTCCGAAACATCTTGTTGTGTTCGTTCTTCGAAGCGTTTTCCGACAGATCTTCTAACCGCTTGAATGTTGCAATATTTACGTTCACCATACGCGCAGATAGCATCAATCAATGCATTCGATGCTTTATTTTTCAGTATTTGTTGCCTAATACGTACGCAATGAAACGCACATTGTAATATTACATTAGCGTAACACGAAACAGCATCGTTATTGCAAAGGCCATATATTTTCCACATAACTATACTTTCTGGTTCCTCACAATCATAATTCTGCATATCATCAATGATATTAGAGATATCCCATCGACGATCGTACATTTTCACAACCTTTTTCTCGGACGGATTGATTTGTGGCAGTTCAGATTTGAATATAGATCTCAGTCGATTATATTCTACAATGGCTCTCGAGTTTGCTTTAACTGATGCTGGATTGAAATTTATCAAATGTAGGCCTTCCAATTTACTTACTCGTGACAAACCTACATAGGCTTGACCATCACTGAATACAGTCGTTCCTAAATCCATCATTGCATTGTTACATGTAATTCCTTCGATTATAAATAATTCGACATTCTTTAATTTGTCTCTCAAAGTTTTCAAGACCATGTCTGACAATTGCGTATATTTTGGTGTAGATTCATGACTAACCGGTAGTTGAAACATTCTATGGATTGTCAAGCCATCGATATTGAATGCTGCGATACCCGTGGGAGCAGATATGGCAGTCGTTTTTTCCAAATTTATTCTGATCCAATGTTTAATCGTTTCAATTAGAAAACTTTTCCCTGTACCACCCTCGCCACTTACGTACAGTCGCAGAATCTGATTCTTATCTTGTAAAACTTGGCATACTCCATCAAAGACTCTTTTCTGGTCTTCGTTCAATTGCGACATCATTTGCGATAAATCAATCGGGTCGTCAATCTTACCAAAATCTTCCAGATCTTTCATCGCGTCGTCAGCTTCTATCGGATTACAATCCAGTTCATCGTCATCGGATTTGTCTCTGTCTGCTGTTTTCAGATCATTTTCGCGCTTCTCGATTAATTCAGCAACGTTCTCAAAAGCTTTCTGTATTTCTTCGAGCCTTTCGTGATATTTCATTGCCTTCGTTAAAACAGACTCTGAATTCTTAAAGGCATCCGTGTAAGTCTCGAATGTACCTTTGAGTTCACTCAAATCTCTCCATGGTTTGAACAGAAGAAGCAGCGAGTAAAAGTATTTTTCGGGCTCAGTTTTTATATTAAATCGATAATGGTTAATTAAATAACCCTTTTTTCGTTTTTTTTAAAATAAACCCGATGCCAGTTTGTAACACTTGACTTCGTCATTATTTGACATCTGTTTCGTAATTTCCCAGAATCTGGCAAAATCGTACAAATTCAATGATTCTAATTCCTGAGGTCTATTTGGATAGTAATCATCGATGAGTGACGAACAGTAAATATTCGTAGAATTTTCATCGAGAGCTTAAATTTCATTAAATGTTTTAACTTTTCTATTTCTCACCTCATTAACATCGATCCATTTGACCATGGTATCATTATCCGTACCGTACAAGGGATTCCCTAATAGTGTATCCGCAGCTTCTAAAGCACCGCATTCTCTGTTATTTAATGAACGCATTGCAAAATTCCACAGTTTCGATGCCAAGGACTTATTCGAATCTATCACTTCAAAGTCTGTATTGCATTTTTCCGACTTTGTCGTGTATTTTGTTAAATATGAGTTTAAAAACTCTGATTTTTCTCTAATAAATTGTATGTCCATATTTCCCTCCCAGGCTAATTTGATAGACGGATTATAATCATTTATAAACCTTTCCGACTCCTTGCGAGGAAGATCGTACAATCTGCTCTTACTGCGTAAATTTTTTC